TTCTGTGATCAGTATACATGTCCTACAGACATGGAGGCCACATCTCTGATCAGCCTTCTCACTTCTGGCTCATTGTCCAAACTCATCAACCCGGGGGAATTTCTATACTTAGCAGAATGAGATGTCATCATAACAAAGGGTCAAATGGTTGAAATGTCTCAAAAACAAGGAATTTGATTTTGTATCGGTCTAAGTCTAAGTCCTTGTTTAAAACATATCCCTGCTCTTCTTTATGCTGAGTTTGTTTATTGTTGTTGTCGTGACCTCACCGTATGGCTCCAGGGATGACAATAATGATGATGACAATGAGGATGTATCCCATTTACTGTGTTGATTCCCTGAGTTTTCATCTTGCACTGCCATGTGGTTGACATTTTTAGTATTTTATGAAATGTCTCGATGACTATTGGATGGATCCCTGGTCCCCAGATGATAAACCCTAATGAACCCTAATGCGTTTTCATGTAGAGCAACCTATAGCCCAAAGATCTTAACTGCTATAAGATTGAGTGGCATACAAATTTGTACAGACATTCATGGTCCCCAGTGGATGAACCCCTCCAGTGACTATGGCATAGCCCTGAAATTTGATATTCATGCTCCCCTCAGGATGAATTATAATAATATATATTGGATTATTAAAGAGTAATTTAACATCTCCCGAGCAGCTTGTTTTTACTGTTGCACTGCAGTGACCCACAGGTTTACTCAAAGACATCATGACATCACGGATGGGTGTGGTTAAACATGCACCTTCTGACCTCAACCAGCAGGTGCAACACAAACAGTCAGAGAGGGGAGTGAAACACTGCTTTACTTAAGTTATGGCATAAAAAGACATAGTTTTTTTCTGAGAACCAGGAGCCTTTCTCCTCCCACAGACACAGAGGAAGTGGAGACAGTGAATGACTATAGGTGTTTGTCTATCTGTTGTCTATGTGTGTGTCCCTGCTGTGTCTGTTGGATGGTTTCCTGTGTTTTTTGGGAGTTATACTGCAAAAGAGCAAAGATGCTTTGGCTAAGCTCCTCCTACGCAACGTGCAGAACAGAGCTTTGCAATAGTTCCACCACCTGGAATACAGAAGGCCCTGGTTTACAGAAAGCATTTGTAATTTGGAAGTAAAATGATGGAGTAACCTTAGCATATCTTAACAGGCATAAATGTACAAGCAAAACTCTATGCTATTGGAAGAGTGGAAATGAGAACTTTTAAAACGATTCCCATAATGCAGTTCTCTGACGGCTTCATTGGTCCAAGTTATTTACTAGGCAGCTTTGGAAATTGAAAAAGCTCTGATTTAAGCTTGTTAAAACAATGTGTCATGAAGCGGGTCAAGGCCACTTTAATGAGCAGAATCAATGAGACTCCTCAGTGATAAAATGCAAATCAAACTCCATTAGCTTCTGCGGAATTAGACTCCTCTCTGTCTGTAGACTGCAGGTCATCAAAAAAAAATAATTAAAGAAAATGAAAGACGACTACGAGAAATCCTTCATTTCCAGTGTGGAGCCTTTTTAATTATATTATCAATCTTTCTCATGAATTCTCATAACACAATATGTGACACGTGTGACAAAAAACCATTATACTACATGTGCTGCTTATCTAATGCCACAGAGAGCAGATGAACCCCCCAAAATATTGTAGTGTGGACACTAAAGCTTTGCACAATGGCACAAAAGTTCCACAGTTCCACACACAGTATGCAGAAAAAATAGCTGATCAATTTGGCTGGTTTACACTTGGGCTTTGAAAGAGATGGAGAGAGCAGCCCTGCAAGGGCAGAGGAGTCATCATTATCCCTGTGTTTAGACGAGGAACCTGCGCTCGCAAAGTGCAGTGGTGCTCAGTAATTGCAGCTCCTCGCTAAAGTCAGCATCAGCAGAGGCTCATCTGTCCCTTTTCCCTCATTGTACCTTAAAAGAAACATTAATAAAGTCCACCGTGTTGCCGATGTTATGCTCACCAGGCAAAGAGAAAGTGCTGCAACACAGGCCAAAGATCATCCATCTTCTGAAGGACTTTCACCTCACACCTTAGTACAGATGTGAGTGGATGAGAGCAGAGACACTGAGGGCTGAATTTATGCACATGCACTGTAAATCATTGAGACAACTAGCTCCTTCAGAGCCTGGAACTGCTGTGAAAATCAAATGGACTCAGTGAGGTCAAGGTTCGAGTCATGTATAAGTCAATCTGCAGTTTCAAACTGGTGTTTGTTTCTGTCTGAAGCACTTTGGAACATCATGAGAAGTTTTCATTTCATCATGTGTGTTGGACATTGAGGGAATACAACCCCCGGCCTTGGTACTGTGTCAAGATCTAACCACTGGGCTACTCACAACTGTGGTTCTGACTTTGAAACTAATTTAAAGGTTTTTCTAGTGGTTTTTCTAGTGGTTCTAGTTTATGTTTACGTTCAGAGGTCAAATACTTGTGACAGCAGCCATTTGAAAGTCACTCTCTTTCCAAAGCTGCTCCACTGATCTTAAATTGCAGTTTTCAAGTGTTAACTTTTGCTAAAAGGGGGCGGCTGTGGCTAAGGGGGATAGAGCGGTTGTCCACTAACCAGTGGGTCAGTGGTTTGATCTCAGTGTTCCCCTTCTGCATGCTGAGGTGTCCTAGATACTGAACCCCCAGTCGCTCCTTGTAGAAAATAAAGTGCTGCCGCTTGATGCACAATCGTGTGAATGTGTGTGTGAATGGGTGAATGGCAATACACTTTACTGTAAAGCACTTTGAGTGGTCATCAAGACTAGAAAAGCGCTCTCTCTCTCTATATATCTC